AGCTTAATAGGTTACACCAACAAAGGCTTTATGTCTGGTATAATAGTACCAGCTCTTCAACCAAAGACTCTAAAAGGTTTATTGTTTTTTTCACAATACGCCAACATCCCAATAAACATAGAGATAGAGCCTCCCTGATTAACTGAGTACTAATACATAATTATAAATTTTTACATAATACACACATTTCATAAATTAATACGCCTTACAGAATGTACCCCACTTACCCCGATGCCTCTCCAGCTTCCCTCTCCGAGACGCTATCAGGTATTCAGTCTGTTTATATATAGTGGAAAATTACTAATTTTGCAAAGGAATCGAAATTCAGAAGTTTAGATGCCCTAGACTGGGAAATAAAAAGTTTACCTAATAACATAATTAAATTACTTAAAGGTGACGTGATCGAACGTGCCAGAGAAATTCGTTGTTCAAACGTCCGTGTTAGGGTATTGTGTCTAATATGTAAGGGCATTGTGCCTAATGTATAAGGGTATTGTGCCTAATGTGTTAGGGTATTGTGTCTAGTGTGTTAGGACATTGTGTCTAGTTTGTGGTGGGCGTGTTACACGCCAAAGTAAGAGAGGGTCAGTAAGACGGCATTAATACAGTCACGATAGATCAAAATCTACTGTTACATGTATCCCTGTGCTCCCAACGACTTACTAAACAGCGAGAAACAATTTGTTTTACCCAAATCAAAGTCTGAAGCGAGATATATCGCTTCAAATACCGGCCGGACCCCCCTAGGTTCCTAGGGGGATTCGGGTGTACAAATGTATGTTCCCCCGGAAAATTTTGAAAAATGAACCTTCTGAAATGGCATGTCCTACGCTTTTAGAGGATTTCAAAGAAAAAAAATTAGAGATAACTTTTTATTCAATGACAAAGTATATATTTAAAGTAGGCAATTTTTGTACGATTCCAGCCCCGCTGGTGATACGAATCATTTAAAGAAAAATCCTGGACCTTAGATAAAAAGTGCCTCCCCTGGCTACGGGCCTGGCTACGGGCATTACAAGTACGTTATCTCCTTTGTACTTGTTCTCCCCCACCCCCGGTTACTCGTGTACAAGGACCGACTCAGACCGCGCTCCTTGTCGTTACGTATGTCTCCAAATGGTGGGGTGCTTCGCCCCTCCTTATATGACAATGTGCATGACGTCATTTAGGCTCATCCAATGAGAGTACAGGATCTAAACCAATCTATAACCTATTTTACACACAATACAACACAGGCGTTTGAATGATGAATTTTGGGCAATTGTGTCTGTTGCGTCATTCCGACAATGCCCAAGTCCACAGTATCTATAATTAAGGGCTAAACCAAGTTTGCGTAATTTAAATGTACAAGTCATCATGGTCAGTCGTGAACGAATTTTGCCACGTCAGATCAACAATGAATTTTTCAGAATGGTTGAATGCTGCACAACAAAATCAATGTCTTAGAGGCTGTAAGCTTATGTGTTTAAAGTACCGGTATACAGCAGTATTTTAGCTGAATTTCAGCTGATGTTGTTTTTTTGTCACAAAAGCTACTTTTAGAACTGTGTTGAGGGTGATGTGTGCGGACTCCACATACATTTATTGAGTTGATAAAACGAATGAATCTGGAATCATATATTATAGAAAATTGTAAAAACAAAGTTTCTAATGACCCGCCCCGAGATAAATATGGTGTGATAAAGACTTGTTAATTAGTTGCTTTAACCACCGAATAAAGCTACCGAGTGAATCAGGCTACGAGCTCCTTTTTCAAAACCAGGAAAAGTTCAAATGCCGTACGCCTTCATATATTCATAATAGTCAGCGGCAAAGTATGGCCTTCGGCATAAAGGATATGTTTTAAGTATGGCCATGGTGTAATGGCTGCGTTTTTCTTCTGCATGTATGTATGTATGTATGTATGTATGTATACTGTCAATTCATTATGGGTTTGGTATATTGTGTCTATGAATAAATGGAATAAGGTATAATCTGGTTGGATAATGATGATAATATTGCATGTGATGGCAATAAGAATAAATCTAATATTAATTGGAATCACAAGACAACAAGACACATTTTGGTTAGTACAACTCTTTTAATAAATCGAATGCTGTGTGTAAAACCTGACATAATCCGCTCCTTTGTAAGGAAAAGACAGCCCTGAGTGTTGAAAATTTATGAGGAAAATGTTGAACGCACGCTGCCATAGTTTTCAAATATTTGAGTCTAGAGTCGAAGTTACATGGTGTAAAATGAACTGCACAAAGTTGAAACACGGGATGCAGGATATTACATGTATCGTCACAAAACAATGAACGACACAGAGCAATCAGATCCACAGCCATACAAAACAAATTATTGTAAAACCATAGGTTGCCAGTGTCCTAACGTATTCAGTCAGATGTGATAAACGTAATGTTTTTCGAAATTTCTCTGGTTAGCATATGGAAAGAACTGGATAAAAGTCACTTCAAAAAGCACTTCAAACAATAACCATTGAACTGTGTCCACCCCATAAACACATATACGCATCTTGTGGTCTGATCAGTGGTTATAGGTACTAGATAGTCACTATGTCACCGTGAAACCCCCGTGCGAGGTTTAAACCATTAGTGATGGCAATACTATATCTACTATCTAATATAGCAACTAATTCTTCAGTCCCATCTACTAGCTGTACTCTGGCTATCTAGGAATTGGTAGAGATATGTGCAAACCGCGTGCCCCCAGGAAAGCCGACTGAGTCATAGTAGGAGTAGCCGTAGTAGAAAACAGAGAAGGTGACGAGGGGGGAGTTGTGCTTGATCTTGTGAGTGCCAACCGTGGTGATGTGCAGTTGTGCAGCGGACAGGTCTGTGCCAGGAATTGGTACCCATGATATGGAGGATGGAAGAGGGCGTCCGTCAAAGAGGAGTCCGGATTTCTCGGCGGTTTTTATGACAACGTTGATGTAGTTGTCAAACACTGAGCCCACGGCATCTACAGTGGTGAAAGTATAGTCAGCGGCAAAGTGTTCAATTGGGGGAACGTACATCATGAACGGGTCTGTATTGACACCGTCAGCGGCGGTTCCCTTGTTGTACTGCAGAACCATGATCGGCTTGGATGACGTGATGAACTGATAGACGTTAGACGGAACATCCAGCTCCAAAAAGTCCCCCGAATGAAGCAATCTAGCTGGATGTCCCGTCACACTGACTATGGTGCCGTCTCTGGCAGCGACGATGCGGAAAATGTCGCCTCTCGTACGGACAGCAAGAGGGACTGTTACAAACTGTCTGCCCCAGGAGTCCACAGGGGGGATTTGCTCCACGATGTGGTCACAAGCACTGACTCCAGCTGGGACGTTGACACACTGAACACCAGACATGAGGGTAACAGGCTTGTTTGATGTGATGTGCGTACCTGTAAGGTCAGATCCCTGGAACTGAACAGCTTCAAATTTGTTCAGAACCAACCTTACCACACTTCCAGGGGAGTAAGGCACTCCTTCATACACAGTATTTCCCCGTAAAGTGATCCTAACATTGGTGCTGTCTTCAGTACCAAAAATGCCAAATTCTGACGGCTGATACGGGATGTATGAAGCTACAAAATATTCGTTTCCAAGGACATCTTTTGGGAGACCAAGGAACCCGTCCGTTGAAGCATATACCTTGTTGACACCGTATACGATGATTTCTGTATCTGATGTTATGGAAACACCCTTCTGTGCCTTTTCGTTACCGCTTAGTGCGAGGGACTCCGATAACTTCACGACCTGCACTGCTGCATTTGTGACCGTAAGGTGGCGGGTAAAACCCACATAAGGGGCAGAAACGGTGACTGAGGCGGGAGTGGAACTTGCGCTGGTGATGAACAACTCAAGCTCCGGATCTGAAGATCCAGTGTAGGCGTTCTGGAGAAACCCAACCATGAACTCGGTGCCTCTGTTGTCCGGAGCTACAACGATGGGAAATGTTTTTGTGAAGCCATGCCCTTAGCCAGGGTTTTAAATGGATTTCAAATACTTATAGTCAACACTGCATCAAAACTGTTGCAATGAACGTTTTTTTCTATAGAAAAGTACAGAATGGGTGACATATTTACCTATACACGTGACATCACCCCCAGACCATGTACCATCGGCTTGGCAGGTCCTACTGTTGTTGCCGCTCACTTGTAGCTCGTAGCCTGGGTCACAGGAGAAACTGCAGTTCTCAGGAAACCGGAAGGAGGAGCCGTTATCACAGGACATTCTCCCATTGGCTGGAATGGACAGGGCTGGGCACTGAACGCCTAAAGTAGGGAAAATGCATTACAAATGTCATTTGAATAGTGAAGAACACACACAAGATCATAGGCATTCAAGGAAAAATCTTACATCACAAGACACATTTTGGGCACACATTGCTACAAGATCTTAAAGTTATTCTACTTAAATAATTCAATTCAAATATTAACATACCGATGCACACAGCGTTGTTTCCAGACCAGGTTGCATCAGCCCGACAGCGTCTCTCGCTGCTGCTTGTAGGAGTCGTGAGCTCGTAGCCTCGGTCGCAGGTAAAGTTGCAGACTTCAGGATACCGGAAAAAGTAGCCGCTGTCGCAGGTCATTCCACCGTGTGGGGACTGGACATGTCCGGACATTTGACAGCTGAAATATACACCAGATTTAAAACGAGAATTGCAATCAATGACTTTGTT